GCCTTTGGGCATCTCTAATCTTTTGATTCAGAGATCAGGTAAAAACTCTTTGGTGAAGGCTCAGAACTTTTACTTTTGAAACTTGCATATTTGGTATCTTCATACAGTATGCCTGTTGTAAAGTGTGTATTCTTTTCTTCTCATTGGCTGAGTAGTGGCTGCCCCTGCACTCTTATAAATACTGCACAGTTAATTGTATGCTTCCCTTGGTGCTATACTAAGTGTGTTATTCACATAATCCCATTTAATCCTTACAATAACCTTGTGAGGAAGATACTGTTGTAAATCCCGTTTTCTTAGATAAACCAAGAACTAGAGAGGTTACTTAACTTGTCCAAGTCTCCACAGTGAGCAGTAGGGCCAGGATTGAAATCCAGAAAGCCTGATTCCTGAGCCCTCTTTCTTAGTCTGTATAATACTGGTTACCTCCAGTTCCTGTCTTTTAGTCTTCGTTCTGCCATATGATTAGCAAGTTCTCGATTTCTCTCTCCTGATCTCCGTTTACTCATCTATTTTACTCTTTGAGATCACTACTAATTCTAGCATTCCATATTTAGTCCCTAGTAGAAGAAGCCTATTTTCTGGGCAAAAGAAGTTGTGAATTCATGTGCCACTCAGTTTCTAGCATGAATACCTAATGTCCTCAATCAAATTCTTTCAAAGCTGGCCAGTCTCTTTATTAATCTTCATGTGCTTTTATATGTCATGAAAAGAAAGATGTGTCATCCTTTTAAAATGTAGTTTATAAACTGAATGCTTGGTTTATACTAGTACTAGTTGTTGTTATTGTTAATACCATTGCTGGTTGTTACTAAAACTATGATAGATAGCAATTTTTCATTTCATACCTGCCGGTTTCCAGACTAGGCACTTCACATGCATTATCCTTAATTTCTTACTTTTTGTAAAGTAAGAAAACAAATTTGGTGAGGTTAAATAACTTACCTATTGCCCCACACCTTGAAAATGACAGTGCTGATTTGACCCCAGTTCTGTCTGACTTCAGGGTTCATGGGTTTCTGTTTGCTTTTTGTTTTTTCCTGCTATCCTGGTTGTTTAAATCATGGACTGGGGAAAGCCTGGTGGTGCCAGAAACGGCTGGATTAGGCTAGGGTAGGACTATAGAATTTTCCTGAGTCTTAAGGCCGCTGAAGCAAACACAGCTTAAGGGGTAGATTCTCACCTGAAGAGCTGGCCTGGTATCAGGAGGCAATGTGCAGTATTAATCATGAGATCAGAACAGTGATGGGAGAGTGCATGGGCTGAGGTGAGCAGTCAAGAGTTGAGAGTACAAAGACAACAGGAAACATATTCAAGGTATCATGAAGTCAGACAACACTATTATAAAGAACGTGTTGGGGGTTCATTCTGATTGGTTTTAGATTTTATAGCTGGCAGAAAATGGGCAACTAACTTAGAGACTTGGGATGGTTAGACAGTTCCTGTCACCCGTCTGGCCCTTTCATGGAAACTGAGTTTGAATTAACTTTCCATCTGAATCACTGTCAGTATTAACAGTAATGGTTAGATACATGCTTCTGGAGGAGAGGGAACGTATCTGCTTGTCATACAGAGCTCTGTGTCGGGCTAGGATCCTACTGAAGGCAGTGTTCCCAGCTCCTAGAGATGGGAGACATAGTTTAGGCTTTTTCCAAGTCTGAGATGTATCCCTGATGCTTTAGTGATGGCAGCTCCAGCTTTCCTGGCAAAGCATGCCAGCATTAGAGTAGGAATCCTTGACATTCTCCTCTGCCTCAGAGAGCCTAGTGAAGCTGCAGGCAGCTGAGGTATTTTAGGATATGGATGTGGGCATAGTAAATTCATTTTTCAAAGTGGATGGCTTAGACAGGGCGGTAAGAAGCTTTTTAATTGAAGGAGGTGGTACGACATTCCAGAAAGCTGGGGAAAGAATTTGCTAGTATTTTTACAGGTTGGCAGGTTTGTTTAATTAGCTGATCTGCAGTGCCAGCTTTGGGAAGAACAGATGTCCCTTGCATTGTAAGGTGACATGCTCTTGATCTAAACACCAAATGTTGCCCTCAGTCTGTTGTCCCAGATGATGGAAGAAGGGACCGAAGCTATTGGTTTAGAACTAAGGTTTGCATGGATTCTGAGTTGAGGTTTCTATCAGCATTTCTCAACTACTGTGCCCAGACCCATGGCATTTAAGAAGTCAGTATTAAGTTTCAGATATTCACTTGGGACCTTATAGGTTCATGATACGTGATAATGTGTCATTTTGTTGAGACGTGGATTTGAATCATAATGGTTTGCCAGGCTGCTGTGTGAGAATGGGTCACCCAGCTAATAAATCAATATAGCCCATTTTATAGAAGCTAAATACCGTAACAATAGTATTGTTCTTTCTTATTTGTGGAGAAAAGGATATGCTATAAGACAGCGTTTCCCAGAGTATGGTCTGGAGGAGCACTCTGTTGGCCTTCTCCTGAAGTGTTGGTTGCCAACCAGCGGCTGTGGGGGGGGGGGGGGGGGGGGAGGGGAAGCTTGAAGTAATTCTGGGTTAAACAAAGTTAAAGGTTATCTGTACTGCATGGTTTCACCACGTGTGGGCTTTGTGACCCTAAGCCAGTGTTTCTGAGCCAGTGTTTCCTCATGGCAAAATGAGATAATAAAAACAGCACCTACTTTATAGGGGCATGAGGCAGATTAAATGAGATTAAGTATATGAAGCATCTAGTGTGGCATCCAGCACATAGAAGGTACTAGATGTATAATGGTTTCCCTTCCAGTAGAAGGGAAGTGGGATTTCAGAGAGGTTGGATTGCTTTTGGATACTGTGTGTGTGTCTGCTGTAGAGTACTTGTCAGATCGCGATGCAAAGCTAAATACGGGGAATTCTGTAATACGCATCTAGTACGCATCTCTGCATAGACACCCTTTCTTCTGTATGCATGGAGAAAGCTGATGGCATTTGCGGAGCTCTTCTCAGCTTGCTTCATTGTCCTTAAAACCCAGCTAACTTGCCCTCCTCTTCTCCTTGATGGCTGAGGATCTGCATTTCAGGACAGCACAGATGTGGCTGTAGAATTTGCATTTAAGAAGGGCTGCAATTTACCCACATGCCTCACCTTGCCAGATCTGTTCATTCTAATTTGGAGTATAAATACACAATGACGGAAGTCTCAGAGCACTGAGATCTCTGTTCTATTCCATGAGCATATGTGGATCAAGGTGGGTGGGAGTATTTATGGCGTGTACTTAGAGAAGCAGGGGGTGTTCCAGGCCAAAAATAAATGGTCTTGATAAGGCACTACTGGTTTTTAAATCACTGGGCTTGAGTCTTTGGTTATCTTAGCTCCACCACTTTCCTACTTCAATCTACTCATTTTAGTGATTGTACTTCTGGAATATTGCTCCCATGCATCTTCGTTCCATTTCCACCCCTTGCTGTCTAGTTCAGGCTCCCTATTACCTCCCCCAGGCGGTTTTGCAGCAGCTTCCAGACTAGGTTCTCCGCCTTTTCACCTACTCCATTCAAGCTCTGATCCTATCAGTTCTCTGCTTCAAAACATGCATTGCTTCACCATTCCCGTCAAAATGAAATCCAAAGGTCTCATTTCGGCTCTGAAGACTTCTTATAATTATTCTCATAATCACGCCGGTTACTTTAATCTACCTACATTCTCCCCACAGTTTTAACCTTAAGGATGAGAGAAAATAGAACTAAAATTTATCTAAGACTTTTTTGGTGCTAAGCCAAAACTTAGCATTTCATACACTGCCTATATCATCTCATGTAATCCTCGCGTTGACCTTGTGAAGGCGGTATTATTTCATTGTACAAATGAGGAAACAAATGTATAGAGGCGACAGGCTCTCCTTCTAATACCCTGAAGTTCTTGCTCTTCCCCTTGCCTTCTAACCTTTGTTAAGACTGCCCTTTGTCTGGTACTCCCTTTCTCCCATCTCTACGTATCTGTGCACCCTTCCAGAGCCCTATCCAGTGCCATTCCCAGCCCCTGCTGAAAATTCTATTTCCCTTCAAATTAGGGTAGATGCCTCATAGCCTCCATCTAACTGAGTTTATGTCTTATTTATGATACTGCTTTCTGCCTTGGCTATTATTTGCCTATATGTCTTGTCCCCTTTCCTAAAGTTTGAGATCTGAAGGGCAGGATTTCTATCCTGAAAACCTAATATAGGACAGCACGTGGTACCTAGTCCTAGTTGGGTGGATTGGTGAGTAGATAGGGGAATAGAAGCATGAAAAATACATGTATTTCCCGACCTAATGTTTTACGGATCACTTGAATTTTCTGTTTCCCTGTATGCTTCCCAGGACCCCGAATGTGACATGGTGAACTCTATATAACATAATAAAACAGGCTCCATGATTTTGGTCACATAGTTTTCTTTGCCTAAAATGCCTTTATCCCACAAGGCCTTGTTTCTTTCCAGACCTGTCACAGAAGTGACACTGTTTCTGGGAAGCCCTTCCCAGTTCCTCTGGGAACTATTACTCCGTCCACCGTGCACCCACAGAACTTTGTGTGTAGTCCTTTCCTGTAATTTTCTTAGGCTTTTCCCCTGATATAAATGGAGTTGTAGATGTCAGTAATCACTAACATTAATCAGGCATGATGCTGGCCATGGGCTGTGCTAAGTGCGTCGTAGTCATCATGTTGCTTAACCCTTCCAAAACTCATATAAAGTAGATACTGTTATTACTTCAATTTTATAGATGGGTGATGGGGAAACCGAGCTTTGGGAAGTTTAGGCCACCTCCTTAAGGTCACACAACTAAGTATCAGAGACTCGAGAACCTGAATTCTTACCTACTATGCAGTGCTGCATCTGTTCCCTTTCCCTGTGTATCACGGTCACCTAACAGACTTCAACAAGTATTTGTTAAACACGTCAGTCGCTGGATGAGAGATGGTAGCTGTTCTCTGGATGTTTCTTGAGTGAATTAGTTCATGCAGGCAGTGCAGTAATGGCTTCTTATTCTTATTAGCAGGCTTTGACCCTCTGGAGCATGAATGCCAAGCTGTTCGGTCCTGGGCTGTGTTAGCAGGCCCCTCAGAGGAAGTGCGATGGCCGCAGCAGCGGCTGCGTCTCACCTGAACCTGGATGCCCTCCGGGAAGTGCTGGAATGCCCCATCTGCATGGAGTCCTTCACAGAGGAGCAGCTGCGGCCCAAGCTCCTGCACTGTGGCCACACCATCTGCCGCCAGTGCCTGGAGAAGCTCCTGGCCAGTAGCATCAATGGTGTGCGCTGTCCCTTCTGCAGCAAGATTACCCGCATCACCAGCCTCACCCAGCTGACGGACAACCTGACCGTGCTGAAGATCATTGACACGGCGGGGCTCAGTGAGGCCGTGGGGCTGCTCATGTGCCGGTCCTGTGGGCGGCGGCTGCCCCGGCAGTTCTGCAGGAGCTGCGGCCTGGTGCTGTGTGAGCCCTGCCGGGAGGCTGACCACCAGCCCCCTGGCCACTGTACGCTCCCCGTCAAAGAGGCAGCCGAGGAGCGGCGCCACGACTTCGGAGAGAAGCTGGCCCGTCTGCGGGAGCTCATGGGGGAGCTGCAGCGGCGGAAGGTAGCCTTGGAAGGGGTCTCCAAGGACCTCCAGGCCAGGTATAAAGCAGTGCTCCAGGAGTACGGGCACGAGGAGCGCAGGGTCCAGGAAGAGCTGGCCCGCTCTCGGAAGTTCTTCACGGGCTCTCTGGCCGAGGTGGAGAAGTCCAACAGTCAGGTGGTGGAGGAGCAGAGTTACCTGCTTAACATTGCCGAGGTGCAGGCAGTGTCTCGCTGTGACTACTTCCTGGCCAAGATCAAGCAGGCGGACGTCGCGCTCCTGGAGGAGACCGCGGACGAGGAGGAGCCGGAGCTCACGGCCAGCCTGCCCCGCGAGCTTACCCTGCAGGACGTGGAGCTGCTTAAGGTCGGCCACGTCGGCCCCCTCCAAATCGGGCAGGCTGTTAAGAAGCCCCGGACCGTCAACATGGAAGACTCCTGGGCCATGGAGGCGGCAGCCTCTGCCGCCTCTACCTCTGTTACGTTCAGAGAGATGGACGTGAGCCCCGAGGAAGTGGTCGCCAGCCCGAGGGCCTCGCCTGCGAAGCAGCGGGGCTCCGAGCCAGCTGCCAACATCCAGCAGTGCCTCTTCCTCAAGAAGATGGGAGCCAAAGGCAGCACGCCAGGCATGTTCAACCTCCCGGTGAGTCTCTACGTGACCGGTCAGGGCGAGGTGCTGGTTGCCGACCGAGGCAACTACCGAATCCAAGTGTTCACTCGCAAAGGCTTTTTGAAGGAGATCCGCCGCAGCCCCAGTGGCATTGACAGCTTTGTGCTGAGCTTCCTTGGGGCTGATCTGCCCAACCTCACGCCTCTCTCAGTGGCCATGAACTGCCAGGGGCTGATTGGTGTGACTGACAGCTATGACAACTCCCTCAAGGTATACACCTTGGATGGCCACTGCGTGGCCTGTCACCGGAGCCAGCTGAGCAAACCCTGGGGCATCACAGCCCTTCCATCTGGCCAGTTCGTGGTAACTGATGTGGAAGGTGGAAAGCTCTGGTGCTTCACTGTTGACCGGGGGGCAGGGGTGGTCAAATACAGCTGCCTCTGTAGTGCCGTGCGGCCCAAGTTTGTCACCTGCGACGCTGAGGGCACCGTCTACTTCACGCAGGGCTTGGGCCTCAATCTGGAGAATCGGCAGAACGAGCACCACCTGGAGGGCGGCTTTTCCATTGGCTCTGTGGGCCCCGATGGGCAGCTGGGTCGCCAGATTAGCCACTTTTTCTCAGAGAATGAGGATTTCCGCTGCATTGCCGGCATGTGTGTGGATGCTCGTGGCGATCTCATTGTGGCCGATAGCAGTCGAAAGGAAATTCTCCACTTTCCCAAGGGCGGGGGCTATAGTGTGCTCATTCGAGAGGGGCTCACGTGTCCAGTGGGCATCGCCCTCACTCCTAAAGGGCAGCTGTTGGTCTTGGACTGTTGGGATCACTGCATCAAGATCTATAGCTACCATCTGAGAAGATACTCCACCCCTTAGGGGATAAGAGAGAACAGGTTCTTCTCCCCAGCCAGCTCCCTACCCAACCCCCACCCCCACCCCCACCCTTATTCCTGGGTTATTGGTGGTATTGTAGAGTGCGCTTGGCCTAGGTCTTCATTCCCGCTGGCTAATCTTAGAATTTTAGAAGCTCTGTCTTTCAGTAGTTTTTTGTTTCTGTTTGTTTGTTTCTTTCTGCATTATTTTCTTCCTAAATTTAGAGCTTTAACATGCATTGCCCCAAATAAGACATATGATATGGGGTTAACTGAAGTTTGATTAGAATTTAGGCACTTCTGAGGCTTCAGTAGAGAGCCTCCTGCCCCTGTATTTGAAATTTGCCCTTATACTGAATCCTTGTTGATTTCCCTCTTTTGGCCTCGTTAACCCCGGTCCCATATTTCCCTCCTATTATAATGTGTTTCATCTGTGATACTTTCTCTTCAGCTCTGCTGCATTTAGTGTGCATGCTCCACCTTTCGTTTCAGACATCACAGCCCTGGGGCATGATGTCTCAGGTCTCTTCACCTTTACCAGAGTGAAAGCTCACTCATTTAGTGCCACCAAGAGACATACATAGTCCCTTTGGACCTCTCGGCTCTGGAGGTTTTGTGCCATCTTGGATTGGTCTCTAATTGCAGATGTGACAGAGGATGGATTGACCCTAGTTGGTTGGTATGGAAGACTTCAGCCTGGAAATTGCTCGCCTTTTATAGGAGCATATAGACTGGAATTATTTCAAAGCACAGAAAGTGGGAATAAACAAACACAAATGCTAATATAGTCAGTAAACACTCTTGGAGAGTCTCTAGAGTTCATCATTTTTCATATTACCTCTCTCCACTGACCTGTGCTAAGAGTTGTCTGCAGAATTGTACAACACAGGCCAGGGCCAGCAGAGTGGAGATGTGGGCACATCGCATTTTCATTACTAAGACAAAACTGTTGGGTCTTTATTCTGTATTTTCCTCAAGTGATGGCACAATATTGCGTTTTGAGATTTATTTCCATTCCTCTATCAGAATTAAATAATTGATAACTGTTTCTTCATCTTTGGTGTTCATGTCTTTTAATTAAATATGGGATTTGGGAGATGGAGAGAGAGAAGTTGTACCACGCTGCTTTGCTTCCGTATCTGACACTGCATTCTTTGAGAGCGTTAGGATCTACCCCAGCCCAAAATCAGCCTAAGGCACCATTATGTAAAAATGATCCAAATCTTACTCTCACCCACAGGTATACAGAATCAGCCCCCAAGGTTGATACTGTCACCAGCGCTCTGTTAGGAAATGAGCTTCTACCATTTGCGTTATCCTTATAATTACAGTTCAAAAACAGAAGAAGTCTTGTCTTTAAAAAGACCAAAACTGGATAAGGGAAATCGTGACAAGGCTTCTCAGGCTTTGTTTTTGCTAAGCAGCATATTTTGCTCGTAGATGCAGGGCCAAAGAGCTATCACCCTGCTTTTCAAAGAAACAAAATTTGCTGAGCTGGGCTACTCAAAATTGTTTTTTGTTGTTTTTTGTTTGTTTTTGTTTTTGTTTGTTGTTTGGTGGTAGTGTTGCTTTTTTGGCTTCTGTTGTAATAGCTCCCAAAGAATAGGAAAGGAAATAATTGGTAGGATGTTGAATTAGTTCCTCTTGTGCTTTTCACCTGGAGAAAGCCCCGTGTTCTGATTATGAAATTGCACCCAATTTCCAAAGATCGTAGAATTGAGAAGAAACTGATCCAATTAAAAGTGCATCACAAATGGCTCCAGTAGTTATCAGAGCCACTTTCTCTGTGATAGCACCTGGCAGTAGGAGGTCTGTCTTTGCTGTCAGTGGGGGGCTTGCTGAGGCAATAACAGTGGTCGAGGCCTCTGGCACAGGGTCTGCAGCACAGAAATGTACATTGTGGGCTGGCTTGACGTAAATGGGCCAAAAACCCTGTAGCTGCCAATGCTTTTGGAGGCAAGTGCTATCACCAGTGCTGTTCAGCACTTAGGGCTTCCCGTTGCTGAACTATGCTCATGCCGTGGTCCTCAAGTACGGCAGGCACCTGCTGACTCCGAATGGGTGGGAAATGGACGCCTCCTGAATAGTTTTTTCTTTGATGTGAATATTTCAGGCTGTGCTTAGTCCAATCAGTTTTCAATTACCTACTGTGTTGACTCAATCACATATGTAGTACATCCCCAGGACACCGTTTTCCTCAATTAGAGCAGTTTCTGTTTGTTGTTTGTTTTTTGTTTTTAAGCAACAGTGCCCTTAGTTGAGTAAAGTCTCACATGCCAGTCTATCATGTCAAGTAGATCACCCCTGCTCTGGGTGAAGCAGGTTTGTGGGCCTGGAGAAGAGGCTTTATTTATCCCCTCATCTAACCTCCTGTTTATTCTTACAAAACTCTTGAGAATCTACAGAACACTTTCTGAAAACCATTGCTAATCTTCCATGTGGCCATGGACAAGCCATTTCACCTTTCCCCTTCTGGAAAATGATGGAAATGATTCTTCACAGGAAGGGTGTAAAATACGAGACAATGGATGCAAAACTACGTGGATGTAGTTCTCGGCGTACTCAACAGGTGACAGCTGTTCCTGTCTTCCCTGAGTGGCATGAGGTGGTCCAACCACTCCAAACTATACTTTCCCTCTTTCCTATTTTATGGGTTCCTAATTGCCAGCCACAACTTTTCTCAGGCATTTCCTCTCCTGGTCACCTGTTCCTTTCTATTATCACTCTCCCTATTTCATGTGTCTATTATTGTATAAATTGCTGTAAGCACATAGCATGGTCCCTAACGCAAAATATATCCTCAGTTATGTAATTGGCTGCTGTTTACTTGCTAATGATGATAGGTCTCCAGTAACCTTCGTCTTCTTAACGTAGTAGCCCCCTCAACGTTGGACAAAATGGTATTCTTAGGCAACAAATTACTTACAGGTTAGTTAAGTCCCTGCCTCCCTTTATCATTCTGAGTAATTAACTTAGAAATTAAGGTTTTAGAGCAATGATTCATTCAGTATTCTTGAGTACCTCCTGTGGGCCAGGCACTATGGGAAGTGTTCAGAAAAGAAAAAAAATTAATAAATGATATTCATGTGTCTACTCTTTCAGAAATTGTTTCAGTCTTTCCTAAGATACTTGAAATCTAATGTTACATTGCCGTGGACTTCCTGAGAGGCCAGGGATAGGCACTGCCTGAATGATTGTTAAGGGCCAGTCCCAATGTACACTCCAGCCAGAGACAGTCCGCAGAGGGACACTCCATTATTCCAGTCAGTAAGATAAACTTGGCTGGAGTCCTACAGTGTTCCTGTGGGTAAGGCAAGTAATGCTTAAGTAGTTGTACTTTTAATCTAGTGCTAATTAATGGCCTCTTAAAAGTAAAGTGTTACCCAGCTCTGTCGCAGGGAAGTAGAAGGCAGAGCTTGGTATGAAACTGGGGGCTCTGTCTTGCACCTGACTAGGCTGCTGATTTGTACTCAGGACGTACAGCCCCTCGAGGGATCTCAAAAACAAATTACAGATATGAAATAGCAGATGCCTGGATGAATTTTACAAGCAGGGCAGTGGTGAGGTACAAAGCTGCTTAGCAAAATACATACTTACGCTCCAGACCTATGGCTATAGCTTGTCAATATCATTAATATTCATGCTCTCCTGGCTAAGTCCGAAGTTAGTGAGGCAGCTCTGGGACTGCCAGTGTATTCTAGTGGGAAAGTCACTGGACTTTGTCTAGGTCTGAATCACAGCTCTGCCCTTGACCTATTCAGGTGGCCTCGGGTGATCAACACACCTCTCCAACAGTTTCCCAGTCTGTAAAGAGGTTAGACTAGATCGTTGGTGAAATTCCTTTTAGCGCTACGATTTTAATTACTCTTTAACCAACTAGAATTGTTGCATTTTGCCTCACTGTTTTTGCCTAATTCTTGCTATAACTGTGTTTAATACATTGGAGTGGTAGAAAGAACCTCCACTTTGTAATAATCAGCTCCACTTTGGTCCAAGTCCTTACTCTGCCCCAACTACTGGAACTTACTAGGCTCTTGTCACTCTGCTGAACTATTGTTTCTTCATCTGGTGGAAGGCAAAGACAGTTTACGTTTTACAGCGCTTTTGTGAGAATTAAAAGATACAAATGGGATGGCATACGTAGAAGTACCTAATTCAGAAAGTGTGAGGTGCTCAGGGAACGTGATTTCCCGTCGTGCTGCACTGATGTGAAATTTTCAAGTTAACGTCGGGAGACTGCAGACCTGTGTTGGTGTTGCGGGTGGCACTGCTCAGCTTCTGAAGGAAAAGCCTACTGGAGGGAGAGAGGGATTCCTGGAGAGGTGGAGGCAAACACTCATAGTACTGTACCCCCCAAGGGAAGCTGCACGTCAAGCTTAAAGGCTAATTATTTGATGAAAGTAGTCAGGATGTCATCTTGACTGTTTTTGAGAGGTTAAATGGAGTCACGATTTTTATATACAGACATATATATGTATGTATTGTGTGCATGTGTGTGTATTTGTTTCAAGACAGAAATATGCGTGTTTAGCTATTCTGCTAGATGGCTAGCATAAAAGGATTTTTCCTCTGGGTCATTATTCATGAACTCAAGTAATTACAAAAATTAACATAAGCCATTAGAGTGCAATTGCTGGCTGCATCTTGGGCTCTCCTGGAAACAAAGGCTGGTTGTCACGGACACTGAACCTGTGGCCCTCCATCCCTTGCTGCCCATTCGGCCTTGGGTCGGGGAAGCAGCACTCTGAAAGTTCAGCACAGCCACGAGACCCCCCCTGCTATAGCACAGAGCCAAACGTAGGCCCTCGGCATACCTCGTCTGTAGGACAGGGTCCCCCCTCCATCCTTGGTCCTTGGCTGGATACCATGGTGCTGGAGAAGGTCACCCCTTTTCCAAGACCCCTTGGCTATTTGAGGAGTCCCCTAGGATCAACCCAGTAACTTTATAGATGGCATCACCAACCATCATATATGATCGAATTTGCTGGAAAGCTGCTGCTTTTC